CATACTAGAGGCCTGCCCTTAGCAAAGCCTGCCCCCTTTCATAGGACAGGAGCCCTCAGGGACGGGAGGCAACCCAGTGGTCAGGGGAAGGTGATGCCCCCATCATACTTCTGCTGCTGCCACTGCCAGTAGTGCAAGCCTCAGCCGGCTCTGGTTACCTGAGTCTCAGGTGGCCCTGGGCAGCTGGCAGCTGACATCTGAGACTTGCCTGCGCCTTGAGCCAGCCCTAGGCAGCTGGGGAGCCAACATCCAAGGCTTGCCTGCACCTTGGACCGGCCCTGGGTAGCTGAGGGGCTGAGGGGACTGGGGTACTCTAGAAGCAGGTACGTTGAGTGGCCAGACCTACCATGGAATGGGCCTGGCCATGCCACATGCCTTCTGCCTTAGCAGTGCTGAGGGAACTGGGTGCCACCATCTGTGGTTGTGGCCACCACCATCTTTCAGGGCATCACAGTTAATTAGCATATTCCCTCCTTATTGGCTGTGGATGCCACCATCTTTGTGAGGGTGTGATGGTCAATTAGCATATATCCTCTTTATTATTAGATAGGATAGATTCTATTGTATGACTATACCACATTTTGCTTATCCATTTGCCAGTTGATGGATATTTGGGTATTTCATTTTTTTCTTTAAATCTATTATGAATAGTGCTTCCATAAACATTAGTGGGTAGATTTTACTGTGGACATATGTCTTCATTTTTCATGGGAGAATTCCTAGTAGCAGAGTTGTCTGGGCAACATGGGAACTGTGGGCTTAGCCATTTGAGTAACTGCCAAATGACTTTGCATACCAGCTGCACCCTGTCCATCACCACCAACATCCTCAACAACATTTGTTCTTATGTCTTTTTCAATGACAGCCATTCTAATGAGTGTGAACTGGCATATCGTTGTGGTTTTGTTTGCATTTCCCTAATGACTATTGAAGTTGAGCAGTTTTACATGTGCCTTTATTTTTTGAATGAAGAGAACTGACACATTTCCTTGTCAAAGATCTTTGACCATGTTTGGGAAGGTGGAGCCAGATATTGTGCTGAGGAGTCAATGGGGAAAGGAAGTGAACATTGCTCTTTCAGGAAGCACAGGAATAGAGGAAATGTGTGAGGGTGGTTAGTGGCAGTGACTGATCTGGCAGCTTGACTCTGAACAGACTTGCTGCAAACTTCTTTTTGGAGGAAAATGAACAAAGTCCTGGCTTTGGACTGTCATCACTCGGATTGGCAACAAGGCTTCAGAGATACACGTCTTGTCCTCTCTGTGCTTGTCACGTCCAGTTGGCTAGAGGCTCCAGCTATTGGAAGGCCAGTAGCAGGCAGATTCTTGAACCGATAGACCACTTTTTAATCACTGTTGTTCTGTAGCCTCTTGATTAATTGTGTGGTCATTACTGATGATCATCATTAGGTCTTTGCATGACGCCATGACCCTCTGGTAAGGTCTGCAGCCTCCTATTACTATAGATGGTAGGGGAGCCTCTCAAATAATGGTTTTTTCAAAGTCTTTTAAAAATTCAATCATTTCAAAAGGAATTGTGTAAATGAATTCTAAGTCTCTGTGTGTGCTGTTTGTGTGCTGACATAGTTGCAGTTATTTCAAGCTATAGATTCCACCGGAAAAAAAGAATATTTCTGGTCTTTCTATAGTCACTTATAGTCTGAACCCACTATATCCAGAACTGCACTCTAAAGTCAGAGTTAGGGATTTTCACTTCAAATTTGTATGGCTGAGCTGGAGTTATTTGACCGTGGCTAGGTATTTGCCCACTCAATGCACTCCTGGTGATTCTGACTCGCCCTGAGGCCAAGGCAGTGATGCTTTTGGCCCTGGCCTCTTCTTTGCTTACACTCTGCAACTTTGAGCAGTGTCCTCAGGAGATTAATGGAGGAAGCAGAGTGACTTTCTGTCTGAATGGGGATGGTAATTCCTGTTAGCATCTGGGTTTCTTGGTAGGGCACCCAGACTGTCTTTCTTGGTAGAAGACCTCCTGCACTTTCTGGGGAAATCCCTGCAGCGCTGACATGAAATCTACTCACAGGCCTGGGTTAGCACGAAGAAAGTGTTGCCACTTCCTGAGGACCTGGGGCAGCACCCAGTCAGCGGATGGCTTCTAGACATCAGTCCCTCGAGGGCAGGAACCCTGTTCATTCACTGATCAGTCCCCAGGGCCTGGTTGCAATGCTCAGCCTCTGCTTGTGGAACTTGTAAGAAGCAGCCATAGCAGGTGCTGTCCAGCTGGTGTGTACTTGGAAGGGCAGAATCAAGGGCACGGTGCCCAGATGACTCTTTAATTAGTCAACAGCTATTTTCTTGTTTCCTTGAGAAAGTATGCAGGGAGTCCCTTAGAGGTCCCCCTGGGGTCGCACACAGGATCAACCAAGGCCGGCAGACAGTGTCCTAAATCTGCAGACCAGAAGGAAGCCTCCTAGGCTGGTGCAGTGGAGAAGGTGGTCTGGTGCTGCCGGGGCTGCAGGAATGGGGAAATCTAGATTGTCAGTGTGACGGGGCAAGGCTAGCAGGTGGGGGAGCAGGTCAGTGAAGACAGAGGCCTGTGCTCATCTGCAGGGCTGTGGTGATGGCAGACCAGCAGTGCAGAGAGTTCGATGGCATGCAGGAACTGACAGCAGTGATCCAGTAGTGTCAATGGAATTCAGGCCACCTGGTGTTGGCAGTGTGGTGGTGTGGCAATGAGGGCAGCCCTCTGCCCACATCAGGGGCCTCTTGAATTTGAGCAGCAGCAGAACCACCTACAGACTTGTTGAAGCACAGGCTGTGTCTCCCTTTGCCTGCCTCCAGTGTTACTGACTCGGGAGGTCTGCAGTGGGCCTGAGATTTGCATTTTTCTCACTTTGCTCTTGTTACTGAGTTATAATAGAAATCCCACTTTGAAAACCACTGGCCTAGAATTTTCTGTTAAGTGCCAATCATAAATATTTTAGGCCTTTGAGCTACATAGATTTCTGTCACATCTTCTTAGTCACTTTTCACAACCCTTTTAGCAAGTATAAGCCACTCTGGGCTGTTGATGAATGGGCTGGTGGGAGAGTGGGGGTGACGGATAGGGGGGCAGGGTCTGGTTTATTACCTCTGCAGCTCCCTGCATGATCCATCCTCTGCTGCACAGCTGGCTGACCTCTGCCAATTGTACCTCCCTGTGCCTATGTATTTTCTTCTCTGAAACAGACCTAGTAATATAAACAGTCCTTATGTATGGGACTCTTTAAGAGTTCAATGAGAAAAGGCACACAAAAAATTTTACCATGATGCATAGGACATACCTAGAATTTATTTATTCTTTACTACTAGTATTAGTAGTGGTACTTACCACTGCTGATGACTGTTGATAGGCGAGGGAAAGATAGGGACAGGAAGACCAACATTGCAGACTCTGAAAGCGAATAGGGCCAAGGCTTTGTTATAGTTTCTCCTTTGGCTGTTTAAGAAACAGAATCCTTTGAGCTGAATACATGCAGGGTGAGTCCCACAGGAAACTTTTGCTCAGCCTTCCTTTGGGCATACTTAGAAAATGGTGTCAATCATAAGCTGGCTGGTTCTTGGGCCCAGGACTCTGGCCAAAGTGGGTGGGTATCTTAGCCTATCTTTAACTCCTGTAACTCATTTGCAGCTGCACTTCAGCCCTATTTGCTGTGAAGCTTTGATTTAGGACAGTGTTTCCCAAACTTCTCTCATGATGAGAATCACCTGGTGGAGTTGTTAAACTATAGATTCCTGAATCCCAACTAAGAAGTGCTAAACTAGAATTTTTGGGAACATATAGGTAAAATTGTATACTTAGAGCACTAGTTAAGTATACAATTTTACCTATATGTTCCCCAAAATTTTATTTTAACAACTCCACCAGGTGATTCTCATCATGAGAGAAGTTTGGGAAACACTGATTTAGGATATTGACCAGACTGTTTGGATATCAAATAGGATCTGGTTGCATTAGTGTTGAAACTATACTTTTATTTATTTTGTAAATTAAAATATAGTGGACATACAGTCATATGTTTGTTTCATGTGTACAGCATACTGATTTAACCTTTGTATTCCTCATTATGTGATGAGCAAAGGGAGCCATGCCCTTTAACCTCATTTTGCCAGATGTGAATGAAACAGCCACAGGAAAGCAGGCTGTCGCGTGCTCCACACTTCCTGTGCTGAAGTGTGGGAGTGAGAAGTGCGTGCAGCTTTCACTCAACGATACCTAGAACGAAAAGACAGCAGGGTATCACCACAGCATAGCCTGTGCGCTGGTGCCTAGGAGAGGCCACCGGGTGGCCCCGAGAGAGGCAGCTCATTGCTGGACACTGCTAGTGAAAGGTGCCTAAGTAATGAGGGGGCTCTTTTCCCTCCCTGTCCCATTTCCCTCCCTGTCCCATTACCCCTGAGGGGCATCTATTTTCTTGCTCACCTCTCCAGCTGCATGCTCTGATCCCCTCCAGAGCATACAACAATGACTTTGTAAGCTCACCTTACATATGCACAAAAGTGCTGGGCAGTGATAGGACTCCACCCTCCACTTGGGTTTCTGCTGACATTCAGTGAAATATTCTTCCACTCCTCCCCACCTTGCACAACAGATTTCCTGTTTTGAACTTGATCCAGATTGGGACAGCCCTGCTACACCTGTTAACACACTCAGACGCCTGTTTCCTCCTCCGTATTTGTACAGCTTTTTGTTGCCTCGCCAGATTTCCCCTCTTAGCTTGCAGATCATGTACCGTAACAGAAGATACCATGTGGAACCGGCAAACTAAGAAAAAGGAAGTTCGCATTTTAGAGTTAATTTGAGTGAAAACAGGGCTCTGGTTTGTTTTACCAGGTTTTGCCATGACCTCTGAGCTAACTTTTCTCCTCCTCCACAGCAGGATGGAAGAGAAGAGAGGAAATCGGCAAACGCAGGAGCCGGAGTGAGACGGCCGAGCCCACCATGAGCCCGGTCCTTCCTTCTGCGCTTTAAGAGCCGCTGGCAGGTGAAGTCGCTGGAGAGCAATGGCTCTCTTCACTCCATGGAAGTTGTCCTCGCAGAAGCTGGGCTTTTTCCTCGTGACTTTTGGCTTTATTTGGGGTATGATGCTCCTGCACTTTACCATCCAGCAGCGGACTCAGCCTGAGAGCAGTTCCATGCTGCGTGAGCAGATCCTGGACCTCAGCAAGAGGTACATCAAGGCTCTGGCAGAGGAAAACAAGAACGTTGTGGATGGGCCATATGCCGGGGTCATGACTGCTTATGGTAAGTGCTACACCTTGGGGGCTGCTCGACCCAGCATGGTTTTCCTTGCAAAGGACCCCAGAGGCTCTCAGACTTGGTCTTGTCATGGAGTGAGTGTGCCCCTTGCCTTTGCCTTAGTGGCAGTAAATTGCTCACAAAGGGGCACTTTTAGAAACTGTAAGCAGTGTCCTTTGGGGGTGTCTCAGCTCTGGTACACACAGACACTCAGCTCTGGTACACACAGACACTCAGCCCTGGGAGCATTGGGGTAGACAGTTGCATTTTACTGCTTGTGTTTGCAGCCAGCGCCTCCTCTCTCAACACATTTCTGGATTGCATGATCTCATCTAGGAGTATGTTTAGGAAACATAGAAAAGTATTCTCATTATCTTTCTCTAAACAAAACTTAATTAGGACTGGTGGGTTGAGGTAAGGAGGCTGGGGAGGAGTGGGCCATAGATGCCGAGAAACACAGAACCCTGTGTGCCTCCCCTTGGTCAGTATACAGGACATTAAGGTCGCCTGCGGCTAATAGCTTTAACCTTTGGCTTTTTCGGAGATTATTGCTCTTGTTTCTTGCCCTTGTCACTAAGTGCCCTGCTTGAAAAGAACTCTTTTTGTACTTGTTGTTTTATTTTTTTCTTGGCAGATACTGTAAATCCTTTTTGAATGAGATTGAGTAAAAACAAAAAACACATATAGAATTTAACTTATTTTTCTTTGGCCAAAAGTTTCACTTAATATAGAAAAAGAAAAAGTTGAAAGTCGAGACCAGCAAAAATATAATAAGAAAAAATAAAATCACCTAAACCTATGCTAGGAAATAAGCACATTTCAGTGCAGATCTTTCTGATACTTTGTATATGCAAATAAAAAAAATACAGTATATACAGACAGATAGAGAAACAAAGTACTTACAAAAGCGTGAATACAAAGCAAAATTTGCAAGTGAAATTTGGATCATTGTGTTCCAGAGAAGCCACTTCCTTGGGTTGACACATTGTTCAGTGACAAGTCTAGTCATTGGTTGGAGACTTCGGTGGCCTCAGGGTTTAAGACCCTGAGGTAAAATGTAAATAATTTAGGAAATGGGATTGGAAAGGTTGGTATTCCATCTTGGGACCCAATCATGTGATTCCTGGAAATGTACAGCAGTAGGCGGAAGCTGGGTTCAAACACAGAAAATTATGTTCAGATATATACATATGTATTTTTTTTGTAAGGATCCAGCAAATTTGGTTAGCTTTTACTATTGCATGTGTGTGTGTGTGTGTGTGTGTGTGTGTGTATATATATATATATATATATATATATATATATATATATATATATTTTTTTTTTTTTTTTTTTTTTGTAAGGAGAAAATGGTTGCTTTTAACAAAATGTGGAAGTTCTTTTTTAGTGTCTACTATTTGATCACACTGTCTGCTTTAAGATTAGGCATTGGCTTTTAATATGTCTACATAAAATACCACTTTTTCTGATCTGATGGATCAGAAACAATAAAAGGAGACTTCATTTGAAAGCCTATGTTGAAAAATAACAAGGTTGTTTTTAGAGGGTGCATTTTTAAATTACTCGTTGACTTTGATCTTTTATAATACAGGATGAGGCAAAAGTAGGTTTATAGTTCTTCATATGGAAACAGTACAATAATCTATAATAATAAAAGCATAACTTGCAAATCGACCAAACGACTGAACAAGTAGAACGACCGTCTGGACAACTACGCTTAGACACGCACTGGTGCCAGGCCAGCCAAGGGGGGGAGGGGCGCCACACAATTGGTTAGAGGTCCCCACCATCACCCTGCAGAGGGAGGTCCAGGCCAGCCAAGGAACTGCACCCACACCTGTCACCCACAGAGGGAAGCAACTGGTGGCTGGGGAGGAGGGACAGCACTGCCCCAATGGCAAGCAGTAGGAGCAGTGGGAGCAGTGGGAGCCGGGCTAGGGCCAGCTGCTGGCAGCTGGAGGACAGCAATCCCTGATCGGCCTTGATAGCTGGCCTAGGGAACACTACCCATAGGGTCCTGGTTGCAAGAGGGCAGAGGCCGGGCTGAGGGATACCCCCCTCCCGTGCACAAATATCATGCAGTGGACCTCTAGTTAATAAATAATAGTACAAATATAAACTGGTTTTCTCATACTCACAACTATAAATTTACTTTTGTCCAGTCCTGTATTTCCTATATATATTAAGCAAACCACCAGAAGAAATAAATAAAGCAGATTGTCACCATTGGTACTACCAGTGTGTAATCGGTGTATAACAAGTAAAACACATGCTGTTTTCAAGTTTCTGCTTCAGTGTATTCTATGTTGGAAGAAAGTCGGTAGTAATTTCCTTCTTCTGTTTAACTCAGTCTTTCAAAAGTTTTCCATGGGAAGGAGGAAGCACATGAACGGTAAATGTAGGCTTTCAGTTTCTTCAGTTTTTGTTTCTTGTGCCCTGCTAAATATTTCACAGGGTAGGTTTCTGCTACACTCTAAAGCAGTGGTCACAACTGGTGTTCCGAGGACCACTGGTGGTCCGTGAGGTCTGAAAGGTTGGCAACCGCTGGTCTAAAGGACAGTGATCTGGTCTCAGATTTTCAGCCTCCCAGAGATGTTACTTTTCTTTTTTGTTTTTTAAAGAAAGTTACCAACCCCCCCAGAGTAGTCTGTTAGAATTTCTGCCACCTTACATACTTATAATCATAGGACTTTGGAGCTCAAAGAAATTTTAGAAATTATTGTTTTCTTCCTTCCTTTATAGATGACTCTTAGCAAAGTAATTCTCCCCCCCACCTCAAAACCCACCAAGAAACAACCACAAAGGTGCCATCAGCAAGTCTTAACTCACACTGCTGTTTTCTATCATCTAATCAGTTTGACATGTCAATCAAATGGTCTTTGGAGCTGAGTTTTTGTAATTTAATTGGATTGTGCTTGTGTGCTTGAGGCATTGGGATCATCACGTGGTGAGATCCTTAGTCAAGGTTTCTTTCTTCAGCATCAGTGACATTTGGTCTGTATAAATTTTTGTTGTGGGGTGCTGTTTGTGCATTATGGGATGTTTAGTATCATCCCTGGTGTGTCTACTCACTGGACACTAATAGCACCTCCCCAGTTGTGACAATAAGAAAAGGTCTCCAGATATAGGGGGACAAAGTGCCCCCACCCACCTTGGAGAACTGCTGCACTTAAGGAGGGAACAGCAAACACTGTCTGCCAGCATCTTTTCTGGGAGTTCTCAAGTGGATAACTGGGTTTTGTTCCTTAAAAAACAGTAGTCGCTGATACCAGATTATTACTGATTTATTAGAATCCCTGACTTGAGATCCCAGAGCAGCAGAGTTTGGGTCAAATTCAGACCTCTGCCTGTTGTGCAATTAAGATTTTATTGAAACACAGTCTCTCCCATTTATTTGAAATAACTGAAAACCGTGATAAAACCAGTTTTTATTTTACATAGCATGTAAAACATGCTCACTCCATTCTTTAGTAGTGACCATAGTTCATTCTAAAATACTCATCTGGTTTGGTTTGTTCTTCACTAAATAATTCCTCAGGATTCCCATGGTCTAAGGCAGCATTTTCAACCTCTTTCATCTCATGGCAACACATAAATTAATTACTAAAATTCAGTGGCACACTAAAAAATTCATCCGACAAAAAAAAAAAAAAAGATATAATGTTGATTCATTCTTATTGAGTTGGCTGGTGTCATTTTTTTATTTGACAATCTAAGGGGAAAGAGGCCAGTATCCTAACCAAGTAGTCAGGTACTGCCTGTTTTAAGAATTTTTCCAGCATACAGGTTGAGAATCTTTGGTCTAAGACATGGGTAGTATCTAGGAACTCAGCACGACCCTTTTTGCTGCACTCTCTGAATCTGCTTTTGAGCTACAGTGTAAGAGCTGAATAGTTGCCACTGAAATGGCAAAGCCTAACATGCTTACTGTCTGATCCTTGGGCAAAAATCTCAACCCCTGCTCTGGACAGTCCTGGGGTCAGTCTTTCTGCCTACAGGTTATATTTGGTGTCCTCCAGACTCTTCATTTTTACATTTGAATTCACTAAGACACCTTCAAGAGGCACCACGTTCAGAGTTGAGTGGTTGGGGTATGGGCTTGGAGCCAGCCAGTTGACTTTGCCCCATTGCAGCTGTTGGCTGGGGCCTGGTGGCAGGAACCACTGTGGAGTGGGATGTCTGCCAGGTCAGTCTGCCAGGTCAGTCTGAGGTGTCAATGAGGTGCTGCCTGCTGTCAGTTAAGTTTGACGGGGCCTCAATCCATAGAACTTTCAGATAGTACCTCCCTTTTTTGATGATTTAAAATGAGATTTTTGAACTTTTGGGATTTAGTGATTCAAAAGTGGTGACTGAAAGATGTCCCAGCAGCCTGTGGAATAGTGGGAGCATTCATTCTCGGTGTGTGGCTGGCTCTGAGAGGAGCTGGAGCCAGAACCCTCTGTACGCCAGCTTCACGGTGTCTGTGCCCCAGGACAGCAGGCAGGGCCATGCCTGTCCATGACTTCAGTGGATCTGCGTCATGAGTGGTGTCACTCGCCCTAGTCAATGCCGTTTTTGTTTCTGAGGTGAACTGATCTCTTTCTCCAGTGACCTGACCCACATTCTGATCCTCAGTGGTCACATCTTATCTAACAGGACAGGCTTGGTCCACTTGTGTCTCTCAGTAAACGGAGTGGAAACGTGGGGTGATCCACCCACCTATTAACCCTGCTCTTTCTCCTCTGCTTGCTTTGCTGTGCTCTGGACTTGTCACCTGCTCAGGCTTTGGTGGATGTGCTTCCCCATCCCCCAAGATCCCATTTTCCTGCTCCCCTTAACCTCCAGATCTACACACCTGCACTTCCTGACCTGCCTGCTCTGCCTCGTCTCCTGTCTCCTGTTCCTGCATTTCTTGGGCCTAGACTGCCCCCTTGATTGACTCTTATCCATCAAGCCTGGCACTTTGGGGATGTCTGAACCATTGACTGGTGCATGCTAGTGCCCTTGGAGTTTTGTTGCGATAGCCA